AGAGGCAAAAGGTACCTCAGGGCATACTCACACTGGTAGCAAAACTCACAAATATAGCAGATTCTGCGATAGTACGGGGTCACACAGCCAGAGCAGGTACGCAAATGATGCAAATGGGTAGGCAAATCCTCCAGCCTGCCTGGCCGTGGGGGTACGCAATTTGCGTCCACCTCAAGAGGTGAGCACAAATGCATTTTTGCTTTCCCAAGAGTTTACGGGAAAAAGAAGTCAAAAAAAAAAAAAACTTTTTGTGTGTGGCTTGCACAATAACGCAAATTCTGACCCGCAGAAAGTTGCGGCCATGTCCCATATGGCACGGGCGGTTAGGTGTGACCAGCAGCCAACGCAAATATCACAAAAGCCATAGCAAATGTCACATTTTTTTTGTGATGTTTGCGTCCAGTGTGAGTAGACCCTCAGGCCCTGAAGAGCTGGTGGCAAAAGGTCAGACGCCCCCCAAAGCTGGTGGCAAAAGTTACTGTACCCCCCCTCCCCTCAAGCCTTTCGGGGCCTCTGACACTTCAAAAGTTACTGTACCCCCCCTCCCCTCAAGCCTTTCGGGGCCTCTGACACTTCCTGGGGCCAAATGAGTACAAACCCTTTGTCTTCCTTTGCCCCCGAACTGCGCCAACATTGTTTGCGCCCCCACTCGAACCTTTTGTCTTGTCTTCCTTTGGCCCGGAACTGCGGCAACATCTTTTGCCCCCTACAGCACCAAAAGGTCCGATTGGTGGCAAAAGTTTCGGACCCCCCCCCCCCCCCACTGCAAAGGCTTTTTTGGGGGTCTCTGACACTTGGAGGGGGCAACCAAGTTCAAAAGTTCAAACCTTTTTGTCGCAGGGGGATCTATAACTTTTCCCAACTCCTGGGGCAAGGTCCTACAAGCAAGAGAGTTGATTTAACGCCTGAATCTGGACATATTTGTGGAGAGGGGGTGCAAAAATTGCAGTGGATCTGTGGTCAAGAACCAAAACTCCTGGGGCGAGGTCCTACTAGCAAGAGGATTGACTTAACGCTTGAATCTGGACATGTTCGTGGAGAGGTGCAGAAAATTGCGATCGGCAATGGATCCGCTAGTGTGCATATCTGCATGGTACACATCCAGATTCAGGCGATTAATCCAGTCCTCTTTGCTAGAGGGACCTCGCCCAAGGAGTCCATCTTTCGTCAAAATTGGGGCCATAGAGGGGGGGGAAAGAAAATGAGAGGAAAACCAATCGCAAAGACCCAGCAAGTGATAGACCTATTTTTTTCTCAAATCCTCTTCACTTAATAGCAATCCATGCGTGTCTTTTTTCGCCTCACAAGTCTCTCTTCTCATAATGACCAGATGGAAGAACACTTGTTAACGTTCGCATCCCCAATGGCACTAATTCTCAAAATTGGGGCGATAGAGGAGTCGAACGTTGGCAAGGGAGAAAGGGGCGGACTTTGTCCCCGATGGCACTACTTTTCTTCGGTACAAAAAAGTTTCATTCTTCACTCGGATGGTCGTTCACTTGCATTTTAATTTAATATGATTTTCACATATTTTATCATTTTCTTTCTGATTTTATTCGACAATTTCTACAACTTACAAGTAGTTTCATTCTTCACTCGGATGGTCATTCGTTTGC